GATTCCTGAAGCGAGCAGAGTCTGTCTTCTGCCACGGGGATGGTGGAGTCGGGAAGTGTATGGGGAAGGGCTTGGGGTTTGTATCCCATCATTAGGAAGAACGGTGAGGCGTTGTGAGAGTCGTGCTTTTGGTGGTTATGCACAAATTCTGCCATAGGAAGGTGTTCCACCCAATCTTCAGGGTGATTCCTGCAATAGATTCGAAGATATGTTTCGAGTTCCTGATTAAGTCGTTCGGTTTGACCATCAGTTTGTGGATGATAAGCGGTGGATGCAGATATGTCATATTTCAAAAGCTTGGCAAGGGCTTTTGAGAATTTTGACATGAATTGTGGCCCGCGATCAGAAATGACTTTTTCATGCAGGCCGAATCGACGGTAGACATATTTGAAAAATTTCTTGGCAACCCCTTCTGAGGTGATGGTTTTACTGCATGGGATAAGAATTACCCCCTTCATAAGCCCATGGTCTACCATGACCATGACAGAATCAAAGCCAGCACAGGGAGGAAGGTCGGTGATCAGATCAACTGAGACTTGGGTGAAGGGAGCGGTGGCGGTGGATGGGATTGGGATGAGGGGAGGTGTAGTCGGATGAGTATTGGATTTCATCTGCTGACAGAGGGCGCAACCCTCAACGTATTTATGGATATAGGTACCCATAGAGGGCCACCAAAAATCCCATTTGATTAATTCTTCAGTTTTAAAATGCCCAGGGTGACCAGTGGTGGGATGATCATGACATCATTCTAAAATAAGGTGCCGACCCGCAGGGTGGACGTAGGCATAATCCTTATAGTAAAGGATATCATCCTTAATAGACCAATCCGCAAGGGTGGATTTCATGGGAGGAAGAGAAAGGCCATCCAAAGCATCGGAGGCAGCTTGGAAGATGGGATTGGGGTTGGAGGGGTTGGGGTTTGCGAGGGAGGTTATGAGTTTGACATCAAGAAGGCGGACGAACATGGAGTCGGGAAGAAGGGTTTCATTGGTGTTATCCTCCAAAGAATCCACTCCGTGATCGGGACAATGGGAGAGTGCATCAGGAGTGACGAGTTTAGTTCCAGCAATATGATGGAGTTCGATATCATAGCAGGACAAAATCAATTGCCATTGGGCCTGTTGTTGGGTCAATTTCTGGGCAGTTCTAAAATACAACAGATTTTTATGGTCCGTGAAGACGATGACGGGGTGAGGGTTACCCTCCAAATAATGACGCCATTCAGTTAGAGTGCGAATGACAGCAAGGAGTTCGCGATCAAAAATCTGATAATTACATTCTGTGGGATTCAACGTTTGCGACAGGTATCCGCATGGGTGATAAACACCATTCTCATCAGTCTGTAGTAAGACTGTGCCGGTAGCGACAAGCGATGCATTAGTTGCTACTGTGAACTGTCTGCTCAGATTGGGGTTTCGAAGGACCGGTTGCTTGAGGAAGCATTCTTTCAGAGTGGAGAAAGCTGATGCGCATCGCTCTGACCATAGAAACTTCATGTCCTTCTTGGTGAGGTCGATCAGCGGTCTGGCAATGTCAGAATAATGAGAGATGAAATTTCGATAGAAGTTGCAGAATCCTAAAAATGACTGAACTTCTTTTACTGTTGTAGGGATAGGCCAGTCGTGAATACCGTCGGTCTTGGCAATGTCCATTGCTACACATCCGGGGCAGATGATCATTCCTAGATATTCTACCTCTTGTGCATCAAATGTGCATTTTTCTGGTTTCAGGAAGAGTTTCTCTTGGCAGATCTTTTCTAAGACACACCAGGTTTGTTTGTGGTGAGAATCAAGATCATTGGAGAAAATTAAGATATCATCCATGTATATGACGAGCCATCCTTCATTGATCTCCTGTTGGAATGTCCAATTCATATATGCTTGGAAGGTGGCAGGGGAGTTGCAGAGACCAAAGAACATGACATTTGGCTCAAAGAGACCATATTCCATGGTAAAGGCAGCTTTCCATCTATCATCAGGATGAATATGGATATTGTTGTATCTGGAGCGAACATCCATCTTTGTGAAGTATTTAGCACCATGCAACCTTGCGACTAGCGAAAGTGGTAGCAGGAGAGGGTAAGCATTCTTAACCGTCCAATCATTGATGTACTGATAGTCTTGACAGGGGCAAAGATCGCTGCTTTTCTTTCCCATGAAGAAAAAACCGCTTGCTTGTGGTGATTTTGACTCAGAGATAAAGCCTTTCTTTATGTTTTCATCAATGAAGGCTTTAACTGCCGTATGCTCTGCTTCCGATAACGGGTACACCTTGGACATCTTTGGAATAAAACCAGGTTTGGTTTCAATACGATGATCTATACCAGGTCATTCAGGCGGTAGCTGGTTAAGGCCATCCTTTGCAAAGATATCAGCGAAATCGTGAAGGTAGGAAGGGATGAGCTCCTTGAATGACTTCTTCTTTTGTTCAAGCCCGGCTGCCAATGCAAATTGCTGTGCCTTGTTACTGGTTTTAACGTATTCAGATTCTGTTGGCCATGACAGTGGTGTAACCGTAGTTTGTTGTTCTGCGATGCTAGTACCGTCTTTGGTTAGGGGGGTATCCATAGAGATGTTGGTAATAACCCGGAGCTTGGAAGCGTCGCTGGGATACTCAACCAAAAATTCGTCATCCTTGAGGTGGTACGTAGCAATCTCGCGTATAGGTGGCGCATTATCTGTGGTCCATACATCGTCTTTGGTGTCAAAGGAGTCGTCATCGTCGTCAGGGATGGGATCAAGGTTAGGGAGTATTGGGGATGCTTCTTCATCTGGGATTTCTTCAATGGTGGCTCGGGGTGCTGATTCCTTGGGTGATGCAGCCATGACCGACTCTACAGGAGGTGCCTTCGGCAGCACTACAACTGGAATCAGTTCTGGTCTCAGATCATTCTCCTGGAGTTTTCGGAAGAAGGGTGGAAGTCCGTTCTTTTCTTGTTCAATATCAACTTCTTCCTCAATCTGATCACTTTTCTCAGTTCTGGGGAGCTTCAGCTCTTCCGCCTTCCATCTGATTACTGGGTCCATAGCACGTAGCCAGGGGATCCCGAGTAATATCTGATCACGATGGCTGAGCTGTGTGATATTGAACTTCCCAATCATGGATCGTTCGTCAATTTTTACAATGAGGATGCAATATCAGGTGATAGTGCCCCCCTTTGTATAGCTTCCATCCACAGTGGTGACTTGGAATGGTTTCGAAAGTTTGTGTGTCCGAATTCCGTGGGTTTTAACAAATTCTTCGGAAATAAATGTTCCAGCAGTGCCGGAGTCAATAACAGCAGTTGTTTCAACGGTTTTCAGACAGGTTTTGGAGATGAGAGAAATAGGAACTTGAAGTTCCTTTCTGATTCCAATACTTCATACAAGTCTGATAGGTACATCGGAAGATACTGACGTCGATCCAGTCTTCCATGTCAAAAATCCTCAGCGAGGCGACAGATCATTGTATCTTCATCCTCTTTATTGCTGTCCTCTATCTCTTCACAACAAACCAAAATCTTCTTCTTCTGTGGGCACACTCTAGTCATATGTCCCTTCTGGTGACACGTGAAGCATAATCCTTTCTTCATATGGTCACTTCTTTCGGCTTCTGTGAGTCGATCTACCTCCATGGCGTTTGGATCGTGCCGATCAATGGATGGTCTAGGCACGTAACATTGTCCAGTTGGTCTAGTGGTGGTACGATGGTTCTGTCAAAATGTGGCACCTCTCTGATAGTTACTGTCAAGCCTAATGGTTGCGGCAACGTACTTGTCGAAGTCTGTAGGAATGGTTTCCATCTGGAAAATGGAATTAACAATCCCCTTCTTTAATCCATCATTGAAGAACGTGATTAAGACTGCATCTTGCTTTACGGAGGCCTGCGCAGCAAGGGTCTTAAAGCTAGTGACATAGGAAGTGAGGTCGCCCATTTGTTTCAGGGTTCGGAGTTTGTTCATGGCAGTGCCAATGGCATCAGCCAGTACGAAGGCTTCCTTGAACTTGGTTTCAAAGTTCGCAAAAGTTCCATAAGACTTGGAGGTGGAATTGTCGACTTCGGTGTAAAAGGTAAGTGCCCAACCCATGGCACTATATTCAGTCATGTACACAAGGGCGGTGATGACTTTCTTCTCATCGGTGTTATAGATTGTAGTGTTAAGCACAAAGTATGCCTTAATTGCATACAACCATTGTAAAGCCTGCTGAGGGCTCCCATCGTAGGTAGAGGGTGCTCTGGCTTTAAGTTCTGGGGTGCTAGTGGACATCCTGATCATTCTGGTCTAGTAATGTTTCTACTGCAGGGGACGTCTTGGTCTCTCTCTGCTTCGTTCTGTTTCTGGTTCTGGGACCTCTTTGATAGAGAGGGTCGATAGGAGACTTTAATCTTTTGTTACGAACTAGGATAGTCGCAATGACAGCTACTCAATAAGAGCAACGGCTGGGGTTGAATCAAGACCTTACAAATGTAAGGGTCGTTAAGACAAGTCAAGGAGAGTGTCCTTGGCTTGAATATTGATGATCAGATGACTTAGGATTGGAGGTCCTAAGTGAAGGATGTTTCAAGTGAGAACCTAGTAGATTAAAGTGAAGTTCTACTGAGTACATGACCAAGTATATATAGTAAGTAAGCGCTTTAGGGCAAGCATGATGAGTCATAGATAAGGATGAGTCAGAGATAAGTCATCTAGTGACGGCGATAGTGATCATGATGTAATACAGATAGAAGAAATGAGTCATCTAGTGATGGCAACAGCGGTCATGATGTAATACAGTAAGAGATGAGAGAAATGAATAGGGGGCAAGCATAACTGTAACACTCTAGTCAAGGAAACAACCCAAAAGAACGGATACAAGGCAGCTTTACTTCCTGGACTAGACAACAACACTAACGACCATACCATCCATATAGCAGCCAGAGATGCAATCAAAGCCCACCAGATCCTCATCAATGTTGCCCCTGATGGTCCAGTAGCCCCAAATAAAGTGTCACATGCACAACTAGTCAAGAAAATTCAAGAAATGTTCTTAGCTATCATCAACTTCGACACACTGGACCTAATCATCAAGAATGTCGCCCAATACCACAATGGAGGAACAATCATTGAAATGACCACAGCAGAGGCAGCTGACTACCTCAAAAAGAATGATGTAAAAGAAGAACTCATCAAGAACCTAGACCTGAAGGTGGTCTTCAAAGACAGAGCATATCTGGTAGTTATACAATTTGTCCCACTAACTTTCAATCCTAACAGCGAAAATGAAATCTGCAAACTCAAGCAAGAGAACGACTGGGAAGAAGGAGCCATATCAATGGCATGTTGGATCAAACCTCCCAACAAGAGAACAGACCAACAACGAGTCACCCATCTCCTAGTTACCCTCAAGAATCCCAACAATGCAAACAAAGCGATACGCAATGGAGTCACCCTAAACAAAAACTGACTACAAGCAAAGAAGAATAGAAGAGAACCCATTCGATGTGCTAAGTGTCAACATTATGGTCACATAGCTCAGGAATGTACATCTCACCAGGATACCTGCACTAACTGCTCTGAAGACCACAGAACCAGTGAATGCAACAATAAGCAATGACGATGCTGCATATCATGCGAAAAAGAGGGCCATGCCAGCTGGGAATGAAGTTGCCCAGAATTCAAGAGACAATGCATGGACCTAGACAAAAGATATCCAGAGAACACCATGCCCTACTTCCCAACAGATGAACTGTGGACTCAAGTACTAGCTCCCCCAAAACCAACCAACACTCCCATCATAACTCAACAGCAACAATGACAAGCAGATCAATACTGCAACCAGGATACACTGGACAGACACCTCGATCAAAGAGGATTGAGACCACTAAGAGGCACCTCCCACCTACCACGGAACACAGGATTCTCATCAAGGCGCCCCCCAATGGCCTCAACCTCCCGCTCCCCCTCGCCAGAACTCTTCCACTCATTCACTAATGTCTAACACACCCGATGATCAATCAGTAAGACTGTGAATATGGCAAGAAAATCTAAACAAATCAGATACAGCACAACACTGTATACTAAGCGGTCCATTCACTGTGAAAGCTTTTGATACAGTGGCTCAAAAAACTGTCCGCATGTTTTGACATTTTTCACTATCTATGATATTGTGTGAGAACAAACAAATGCCTCAAGGACATGGTTAAACCACATTGTAGTATGGCTTCAGGGCTTTCATTTGAGCCCTACACCGTGGGAATCGGTGGAGATATGGTGGAGATACAAGGCTCACAAAATGGTGACTCATGCGGACAGTTTTTTGAGCACATATTAAAACTATATAAATCATCATTTATGACACCATAACAATCATGCCACCATTAAATAAATTATAAAGTGGTGTCATTATGTCATTTTAAAACCATATCTAACTATACAAACCAAAAATTTCCATATGTCATGGTTATATTCACCATGAAAGCCACCCCCCCTGCTCAAAGGGATAATATCCTCTCTCTTTCCTATTCTGGCCTCTCTGCTTGTCAAATTTCCTCTAGAACTGGAGTATCCAAGTCCACTGTGGCCAAGTTCATCAAAGAAAGTCACACAGACAAGGAAAACCTCTGTGAAGGGTGTCCATCCAAGCTCACCTCTACTGATAGGAGGGCTATTATTCAACATATCACTACAGGAAAGGCTGATAATGCTGTCCAGGTCACCTATTACATCAATTCCACCATCACATTCCCTGTCTCTTCACACACTGTGAGAAACATTCTCAAGACAGCTCATCTCAGGTCAGTAACAAGGAAGAAAAGGCTCTCCTCTCTATCACACATATGCAGAGAGGACTAGCACCCTTCATTTTTCACATATATACCTTGCCATCTGACCCAATCCTATTTATTGTGGTCTTATATGATCATATAACATGCTTCCAGTCCATGTAATCCAATTCTGATGGGCTAAGGCAAAGGTTAGTCATCTCTGTTTATGTGTGATAGAGAGGAGAGCCTTTTCTTCCTTGTTACTGACCTGAGATGAGCTGTCTTGAGAATGTTTCTCACAGTGTGTGAAGAGACAGGGAATGTGATGGTGGAATTGATGTAATAGGTGACCTGGACAGCATTATCAGCCTTTCCTGTAGTGATATGTTGAATAATAGCCCTCCTATCAGTAGAGGTGAGCTTGGATGGACACCCTTCACAGAGGTTTTCCTTGTCTGTGTGACTTTCTTTGATGAACTTGGCCACAGTGGACTTGGATACTCCAGTTCTAGAGGAAATTTGACAAGCAGAGAGGCCAGAATAGGAAAGAGAGAGGATATTATCCCTTTGAGCAGGGGGGGTGGCTTTCATGGTGAATATAACCATGACATATGGAAATTTTTGGTTTGTATAGTTAGATATGGTTTTAAAATGACATAATGACACCACTTTATAATTTATTTAATGGTGGCATGATTGTTATGGTGTCATAAATGATGATTTATATAGTTTTAATATGTGCTCAAAAAACTGTCCGCATGAGTCACCATTTTGTGAGCCTTGTATCTCCACCATATCTCCACCGATTCCCACGGTGTAGGGCTCAAATGAAAGCCCTGAAGCCATACTACAATGTGGTTTAACCATGTCCTTGAGGCATTTGTTTGTTCTCACACAATATCATAGATAGTGAAAAATGTCAAAACATGCGGACAGTTTTTTGAGCCACTGTATAGTCGCACTCCAGGAACCCTTCATCGACACTCTAGGTAATACAAAGGCAACCCCAGACTGGAACATCATATACCCTATGCATAGGTTCACCCACAACAAACAATCACGCACAGTCACATTAATACACAAACAGCTAGACACCAACAACTGGAGGCAAATCCTGTTCCCATCTTTGGATGTGGTTGTTATCCAAATGCAGGGCGCCTTCGGAAAGCTCACCATCGTCAACATCTATGACGACAGTAAGAAACGAGAAGTCCTACCTGCACTAACTGCATTCCTAGACAAGGAGAGCTGACTCATCCAACCCTCATCCACAGACCACCTAGTTATCCTAGGTGACTTCAATGCACACCACCACCTATGGGAAGAGGCCAGGAACGCTCACCTTTGCACCCCTCCAGAGGCCCAAGAAGCAGCGCAACACATAATTGAGTTAATGGCTGACCATGATCTGCAAATGGCACTACCAAGAGACAAACCCACACTCCAATCGACTAGCAGCAGCAACTGGACTAGACCGGACAACGTTCTCTGCACCTCCCACACACTCGACTCACTCACCCTTTGTGACATGGCACCTAGGCAATGTCCTCCATGTACTGACCATGTACCCATATACAGCACCTTAGACCTCCCCATCCCTCAAGCATCCACATCAGTCATGTTCAACTATTGAGATGTCGACTGGGACAAATTCTGCAGCACCCTCAATAGAAACCTAGCTGAATTTCCAGACCCAGAAGTCATCACAACAGAAGAACAGTTCCAGGCTGCCACCACTAACCTCAAAACTGCTATCAGTCTAACTATCAAGCAGAAAGTTCCAAAAACAAAGCCAAGCCCACATGCAAAGAGATGGTGGATGAAAGAACTAATGCTGATGATGAAAAGGAAAAACAAGCTAAGTGATATCTCTTACAGAATGAGAGGACTACCTGAGCACCCTAGCCACACAGAACACCGGCAATATCGAAATCAAGTAATGGAAGTGATCTGCAAGACGAAGCAGGAACATCGGATAGAGTACCTAAAGGACTTGGACCAACAATCAGTATACACAGCAAACTGATACATCACAACTCCCTGCAGTGATGGAGGAAGATCTAGCATCCCAGTCCTCAAAGTCAAGAACGAGAACGGCAACCTGATCGAAGCTATCACTAACACTGAAAAGAGCAAAGCCCTTGCTAATGTGTTCTTTCCTCCTCCCCCAGACAACAGCTCAGTTCCCCCAAACTACAACTATCTAGACCCAGTTGCTTCTTTCACAGAGATCACAGAAGAGCAAATTGCAAAAGCAATAACTAACACTAGCTCTTACAAAGCACCAGGTCCAGATGGAGTATGCAACATTGTCTTCAAACGGGCATCAGCTATACTAACTCCATACCTCAAACACCTATTCAATGCCGTCTTCACTCTTGGGACCTACTTCGATCCATGGCGAGAATTCACTACAGCGGTCCTTAAGAAACCAGGGAAAGCGGACTATATGACCCCCAAAGCATACCAGCCTATCACTCTGATCAATACAATGTGCAAGCTTCTAATGGCAATCATAGCTGAACGAGTCTCAGATCTCATGGAACACCACAATCTTCTCCCCAACACCCACTTCAGAGGATGACCCAGATGCACAACGATGGACTCACTTCACCTGCTGGAACTAACCGTCAAGAATGCCTGGTGCAGCAGAAAAGTAGCTTCAGTACTGTTCCTCGACATCGAAGGAGCATTCCCTAACGCAGTAACTGACCAACTGGCTCATAACATGAAGAAATGATGCCTACCCCCGGAAATAGTTCAATTCACGGTAAGGATGCTATCAGGATGTCGAATGCAACTAAAATTCAATGACTCGATCTTGGAATGGATACAAGTACGCAACGGAATAGGACAGGGAGACCCACTATCTATGATTGCTTATTTAATATATAACACTGACCTTATTGATATAGCCAACCCCTACAACAACAAAACAGCACTAGCCTTTGTAGATGACATGGCATACATATCTGTAGGACCATCATTTGAAGATACCCACAACATGCTCAAAGACATGATGGAAAGACTGGATGGAGCACTCCAATGGTCAAGAGATCATAACTCAAGGTTTGAAGTAAATAAATTTGCACTAATCAATTTCACCCACAGCAAGACACGCACCCACCCCTCGATCGTCACACAAAACACCACCATACATCCAACTGAGCATCATCAATTCCTTGGCCTAATATTTGATCAAGAACTGACCTGGAAACATCACACAGGACATGCTATAGCTAAAGGCACAGAGTACGTACTTCAGCTACATTGACTATCAAGGCCTGCCAATGGGATATCGGCAAAACTCATGTGACAATTATACCTCACTGTGGCCATACTGAAATTCACCTACAGAGCAAACGTCTGGTTCAAACCAATCTATTGCAATGAGACAATAAAGGAACAACGAGGTTCAATAGGTATAGCAAAGCGTCTAGCTACAGTCCAAAGAATAGCTGTGCTAAGCATCACTGGGGCAATGAGAACTACAGCCACAGATCACCTACACAACCATGCCAACCTCCTACCGGTCTCTCTCCTCCTTCAGAAAGTATGTCACCAAGCCACCCTTCACCTCGCTACCCTTCTGCAGTGACACCCAATATACACACCCTTGCAACACATCATCAGATACCAAAACACAACCTGTCATCGATCATCACTCCACAACCTCATAGCCACCTACCAAATTCTTCCCAAGGACATCAAAACACTTGACCCTATCAGCAGATCAGACAAACAATGACCAAATGTCTATCACACTCACATAACAAGAAAGGAGAAGGAAGCTATAAAGGAGCAGAAAGAACTGATGGACAAAGTCCAGGTCTTCACAGACAGCTCAGGTCATAATGGAAAGATAGGAGCAGCTGCAGTCCTACTGCAAGAAGGGCAAGTGCCAAGAATACTGAGGTATCACCTAGGCTCAGATCACAAACACACAGTATACAAGGCAGAAGTCATAGGCCTAACACTTGCAGCAAAGCTCATAGCCATGGAAAGGAACATGACATATCTGGCATTGATATTCATTGACAATCAAGCAGCTATTCAATCCGGTGAGAGTCAGTACATGAAACTGGGTGGATACTTAGTAGAGCATTTCCGCAACCTCACAGCACAACTAGCTAAGCAAAGAGATGACAGAGGACTCAACTTTGACCTCATGATAAGATGGATCCCAGGACACAAGGGAGTAGAGGGAAACGAAATAGCAGATGAAGCAGCAAAGAAGGCAGTGGAAGGAATGAGAAAGTCAAGTCCGAGAAAACGACTACCGTCATTCCTCCAGGTCGACAAGCTACCGGACAGCATTTCAGCCCTGAAACAATGGCACCAATCAGACCTAAATGTAAGATGGGCAGAAAAATGGAAGAAATCGCCTTGATACGCCCACTCATCAGCCATCAACCCCAGCATGCCATCCAACAAGTTCATCAAGCTAGTCACCAACCTCCCAAGATGCCAGACCAGCATCTTCACCCAACTATGAACCCACCACTCCCCTCTCAACCAGCACCTCCATCATATAGGAAAAAGTTTCTCGCCTCATTGCCCATTCTGTCCAGAGATAACAGAAACCATTCCTCACTTCCTATTTGACTGCCATCAGTACACAAGAGAACACCACATACTATCCAACACTCTATGCTGCAAAGTGAACTCCCTCACCTATCTGCTCACATCAGAAGAGGCAATCAGTCCACTAATGCAATATATCAACAGCACAGGAAGGTTCAAGACTACATTCAGTGAGATTTCAGACTCGTAAAAACTGTAAATGATTCAAGCACGCACATAACAAACAGAACATACAAGAACAAATGTAAAACACTCAACACTCCGAGACAGGAGGGAAAGACTAGCGCAGGACGCTTAGTCACTGTAGAAGAAGAGAAGAAGCAGAAGGAGAACCAAGTTGGCCAGGGACCCCAGGATCAAAACCGCGACAACACCAACACGCGTACAACGCCAACCAATACTCCCAACCTACTACTACATACCACTACATCATTCCCTCTGTACGAAATCGGCGTCGGCCTTTGCCCAACAACATGCCGACGGAGTACGCGTACGCCCACTCAACACCAAGATAGATTATTACACTACATACGATAGATAAGCGGGAGTAAGCCCCCCGCGCATAGGGCTATGTCCAACATAGGGTCCACGACCCTAAAGGACAATAAATTGGATTTTTTTTTAAAAAAAACTTCAAGCTCGACCTCCACGAGGAGCACCTTGAAGCGGGGACTCGGAGACTCGGACTCGCCAGGGGACACCGCGAAAAATGGAAAAGCTAGTAGGGGCCCACCAGCCTAAACAAAATTTCTCGCTGTCCCCGCTGTTACTAGTACTAGTACTAATAGCCTGCAATCCGATATCAGCGAGCTCTGTGATGTAAAAGAAGATTTACCAGTAAGGACGCAGAGCTGGCGCTTGGTGCGATAGACACTGGGTGCTAAATAAATGATGGGTGAACTTTCGCAATGGCATCGAGGTACGCGCAATGCCAAGTTTGCATAATATCTAATGGGGTCGGATCGAAGGGAGGGATCTGCTATCGCAATGTATGACGTGTCGAATGACCGGAAATGGAATGCACATGGCGTGCGTATTGTCCTTCAAACTAGTATCGATGGTGCGTGAATTCATGCATGCTACGAGTAGACATCCCTACCTCGGCGCCTCAATCCAGAACCCAGCGAACACCTCCCTGCATCTGAGGTGCGTCTCGAATTCCGCGACGATCAGCACAGTAAAAGAGTTTTCCGTCGATGTGAAATACTAATAGGTGCAGATCATCCGTCAGGAAGCAGTAGAATGCGGGATCTGTCCCCTGCCTAACGGAATCTCCAACACCGGTGGTGCGGTGGACTTCGTATGAAATCCATCGGGTGCTTTCGAGGTGATGGTGATGAGCTGCTCATCGATGACGCAGTTGTAACTGCCAGGATGTATCGTTCAGAGCGAAGTTGGATGAGAGGAGGGAGGAGGAATGGTCGGTCAGTGTCTCGAGGGACTCGCCTTTAAGTAGCTCGCATAGTTTAAGGGACGATCCCATCGTAGTAGATCTTATTGTTGAATATAAGAGACTCGTCCATCGTGTTTGGCTTCGTTCGACTCGGAATTCTGTTGGTGGCCAGGAAGCTGGCTGTTGTGACTATGGGATTGTCGTTCATGCAAAGGTTCGATTTACTTACAAGTACACAATGATGGAATCACTCACATATAAGACAACGGTTTGTCCGAGGGTTTCAATGCTCATGATCAGCTGATTCAGAATTCTTTGCGGTTTGGGAGACTGCTTATTTTTTAGCTGTTATATTGACATTTCAAGGTACTGATTACTCACTTGCAAGAACCCGAGGACCCTTCGCAGAAATTCCAGATTTACGGAATTCAGTGCTGGTTTTAGTGCCACACTCGGGTTCCCGCACCAGAGCGCCACGTTCAGGCTGGTCGATGAGCTATGACGGAGACTGATCAGATGCCTGACTGTAGTGCTCGTAATTACAGTCATAGAGAGCCCTTCCGTCGCCATAATATTAAAGGGCTGAAAGTGGAGAATCGTGTGCAGGTTTAGAATCACGAGGGATTTGCTGGAAGGCCCCAGATAAAAATGGGATTGGTCCTTGTTGGTCCTGTGGTACAGCAATTTCAAGTCATGGTCAGACGAGATGAACAATTGCAGCCAGTCAACGGCAGCAAAATCAGGCACGTACGAACGAAGAAGAAATCCAGATAATTGCCCGAACATGAGTATCCAACTCAGATCTCTGATGGTACTCCTGAAATATAGGGACCAGTGACTGGAGAAGATTGGAAAGATTGGAGATGCCGACTGACCTCGTGCCACGAGTATAGAACTCTATCGACGTAAGGGAGCATGGAGAAGATGATGCGAGCAACAGCTTCACCATCCACTAAATCAGATCGCGTCAGAATCAATTGTTGCAGGGTGGTATGCTGAAATGGCTCAGTGTCCGGATTGATATCGATATTCACGGCGTCCATTGATATCTGCAGCCAACACAAATGGGGACATTGACGGAGCGCTGCAAATAGCCCGCGGAATGTAATGGGTGTTATCTGCCAGTCCACTAATTCCAGCGAGCGGATGTGCGGCCACCTTGACATGGCTTCGAAAAGAAGGCCATTGTCGATGACAATGGAGCGATGAAGACTGAGGCGCAGGTATCAGAGTTGCGTGAAACAGATGAGGCGTGTCAACAGGCAACAAAGGAGCTACAACTTGGGATAGCTCGCCTGCAGATGTGGTATTAGAGTTATCGCTAAATAAGGGGTCACACTGCGAATCAAGCAAGCTAGAGACCTAGTATTGAACAGAGCAGGTTATATTTTCTTATCGCACGAAATAGACCCGTCTTCATCTGCCGAAATGGTGGAAACGACGTCTGAGCATGGGAATCACAAAGCCACCATTCGAGCCACGGCTTTATCTTGAGATAGTCTCGTAAAATGAATGTGTTCTTTTGCTTGAAAGTGCCCATATCCGAGACCGACAACAGGGCGAGGGCACGGCTCTGAAAGTTGTCTGTACTTGCCCTGTCTTGTGACCATGTCAGATCGATGTTTTAGTGTCAGAGGCAAGCAAAGACTCATGGAAGCTTAAAGCATGTGACGGCCGAGTGGTCTGTACAGAGACCGGAAGTAAGCTATTATAAAATCCTATTCTGCTTATCAAATTTGAGTTCGCAAAGAGCATTAGTCGAACGGCGCACCTGAGCGGCCATAGAAGGGGATTAAGTCCCCAACACTCAGCGGTTGGTCTGGATGATTTGACTCCCTCTCCCGTTGGGATAGAAAAAGTTGAATACATGTTTGATTAATTCCTAGAGGATGGTTGAAACGAGTGCACTCCATATCTCAAAGTACTCACAAAAGTCATGGTATATATGTATTTCCAAAAGCGCGATACCAGTTCTTCTCTAGGCCATAGGAGACAAAATAAAAGGAGTTCAGGCTGGAAAAATGATTTCTCGGAGACTCGGAGTGCTCATAGAATGGTTGGTAAATGATTTCATTACTACCTGCTGTGTACGACGTCTAATTCTGTTAGGACGAAAGGAGGCACTGTTAGAAAACGAATTATTATGACAGATTGAAAATATACACAAGTTACACTGACAGCTGAAGTGCTGGCGCGCAGGATGGGTTTTGACACGGCACTAGGACGAGGTGTAGGTATGATATTCGTGTGGCAGTTGAAACGTTGAAACTAGCACTGAAGTTTTGAAGTGTTGACTCGGACGTGCACTGATACAGCGTATATAAGTGGGCCTTGACGCGGAGTCGCGGATGCGGATCATGGCCGTCGACACGTCTAAACGCTGGCTGTTATGACTTGTTTGTGTCTATTTTATGTGAATTCGCCCATCCAGGAGTACTCGCTGCTCCGAGTCAGCTCAAAATCTGAGAACTCAGAAGATCATTATATTGTGGCACCGCGGGTTTGCTTTTGGTTCAGTTGACTGGCCAGGATATTAGTATGACCACTGCCTAGAGCTAGGGTTGTGTAACAGGGACTCCAATCATAAGCAGTCAGTGCGGACTACTAGTCACAAGGCCAATTATCCTTCTCTTCCGAGTCCATTCCTTCGGCATCAGTAAACCGGTGAAACTCAGATATTCCCAGGTATGGTACCTGTTTCCTCTACATGATGTTATAAAACAATATAAAGCAATCTAAAGTGATGTAAAGCAATATATAGGTCCGAATCGAGCATGAATTGGGGTAATTACATTGCCTTGGATTGCTATATATTACTTTGTATCGTAATATACAGGAAAGAAGCATTGGGCTTACAAAATACTACAAAATCTGGGAATATCTGAGTCTCACCGGTTTACTGATGCACTCTTTGTACACTGTTCCCTCACCGAGCATCTCCACAGAAGTTTTGCTTTCAAGATATCGAATCATTACCCGAGCACGAGGCCATTCAGCGCTTTCGTCATGCCGCCTGTGCACACTCATCAGGTATTCCAACCATCGACCATTCTCATCTTCTCGCACTATTATATATCGAGACATTTGTATTCTTGCTATCATCAAGCCGGACGGCCAAAATTACGATAGTTACACATCCTATCTTTTGTGCTGTTGACCCTTCATTCAGATCCGTTGTGCCACATGAAGAATTTAACAATCCTGGCCATGGAAGACGCGCTGACAGTACATTCGCTGCCCAGCTTGAACATCTGCATTGTACGCAGCTTGACTCGACAGTATGGAAGCACCTCTCCGATCTCCTCACTCTGCATACAGTAGCAATCTGTATCGGATTTTTTTATCCATTGAACTGGCGTAATCGCAATTTTGCATCGCTCTCAATATCACTGATATTCTTTTTTTGATGTAGAGATGGCTGCAAACACATTCCCATCGCTACAAAATTTCCTGAGGCATGTCCATGTTTTGCCTCTGGCAGAAACCGACCAGCTCATTATTTCGTTCGCTGGCACAGTGCAAAGCATGCCATTCTCCTTGATCGCGTTGGAAGGATATCAGGAACTCTCAGGCAGCTGGGCGGCGATCATGCAGTTCCCCTTTCTGACCTGCATATCCTGCCAATGGCAGTGGATGCTAAGGCTATGTATCGATATCGCTCCCAAAGGCGATTCATTCCAACACAACTCCCTACACATGCTGGGCGCTAAAGCTGTCGCTCGCATCATTTTTTCCATGCTTCTCTGTTCCCACATGACAATGCCACTGGAAGATGCCTCCTGGCGGCCTAGTGCCGCGATCTTCTGTGATTATTGGTCGCCAGATCACAGCAGCCCCTGTGCTCAGATTTATATACCGATGCTTCGGTGATTATCCCGAAGTCCCCACCAAATCTCGTCATGCATAGGTGGGACGAGCAAGGGAGGTTACATCCAAGCCTGTGGCCTGTACCTGTGCTTGTACAGAATGTTTTCTATATCACCGTCTCAAGTTGTGTAAGACTTAGTGAGAGTTCGGTAGGGAATTGCGAGCAAAAACGATTTCTGAAGCGAGACGAGCTGGATAGTTTTTGAGACGAGTTGGGAACAGCCGTGGTAGAGACTTTCTGAGGGACTTTTTGGTCGTACTTGGAGCGGGGATCTGACTCTAAGATTCGCTGTAGGTAGGAGAGTACATGAGCAGTATATATACGTTTTCGAATACTTGACTAGGCCGGAACGAGAACATGAAGCGTATGGCGAGGTGAAAATAGTTCGGTGAAACAAGGAGATGGTGAGGTCTGAGTACAAGGTAAAGTAATGAAAGAAAATGGAAAAAGGGAGATGAAGGAATGTATCCACGTAAGTCGGATACGAAGCGTTGAGCCTATTCGTATCAATGAGTCACGTGGACGGGTGTTGCCGTTTTGATGTAAAGGTAAGGTCTGTGCGTAAAGGATCGTGGATCCTTACAGTTGCGCAGGCCATCCAACATATGCAAGTTTCGTTGTTTGAACTTGCGGATCATCAACCAAACTTACAAACGACTTGATATTGACGAGGAAGATTCCAGTATTTATTTGTTGCTTGAACGACCATTGGTTTTGGCAGTCACACATTCACGTTTTGACTTTGAGCTTCGCCATTTTTACACGTCAGTTGGTTTGGTTTAGATGGGTGAAAAGGAAATGAGGTGTTGCCCACTGCACTGCCGGCATGAATTGCAATTGATGTTCTGCTCTGCTGTAGCGCCGGTGCGGCTGGCCTGCCCTCTTCTCTAATTCCCTTCTCCGTTTATTTTTGTACGCACCACAGTGGTCTCGGACGTTGACCTTGCGTATACATAGGTCAGAACCATAGAACAAAGCTATACCATAGAAGGAATTTATTTAGCCGCAATCAGCATTCAACGTTCCAAATTGATCCTCGGCCCATACTCGTTGAACTTACAAAGCCAGGTCCGGCTCCGGGGTGATGTATATGCGCTATTACAGCAACGTTCCATTTTGCCCCACCCGAGGTTATTTGCACGCTGTACCTTGGCTGACTCGGACAAGTTGGTGTCAAATATTGGATCCTGGGCGTATTATTAATTTATGCCTCAACTTGAAGACCCCTGAGCCATCACTGGTGATAATACCACAAAACGCTCAATCCACACAGCCAACGCTTTGCTCTGATAGACGATTGCCCTTCCACAGTGCCCCATGCACAGCTACTTGCTACAATATTTGCTATTTGGCCTCTTGCATGTGGTGATTCACCATATGTAAATGGTGTCATCATGACAATGCCTCGTTACTCAGGTCAGTGGGACTTGGGGGCGGAAGTTGGTCAACCCGGATCCGTGTTTAGATCTCGAAGTTTTTCAACCTGTCCGGCCGTACAGTTGTAGGTCAGAACTTGGGAAAAGGGATGTAAGTATCGTAAAACTGTCGGACAGTTCTATTCGGGTGGTGGGTCTTCAATTCAAATAAGTGCCCTCGCACAGTTCCGTTCCATCATGTAGCTCATATACACTCTGCATTGCAGATACGTTTCGCCGCACTGACTAAGCAACTTTCATGTCATATGTTAAGGGCACACACATTCAATGCGGCTCCTCATTCCAATGGAATATCGTTTTGAATATTTTTCAACTGTTCGACACTTCTTCGGTGACTTTCGGGTCCTGAGCGGTTACGTGATAAGAAATAGGGGACTCTGGATCGCTGGTCATCCAAGTTTGCAAAATAAATGCGGCAGAACGTCTCGTAAATGCAAACAACCTACACATGCTATCCAGCCATGGACGTCAAGCGTAGTTCGAGAAAAAAACAAAAATAGGTGTGTCTGGTGCCCCGAAATGTGCCAACCATATAGCTTCTTCTCTGATCGCGCAGTCTCAGTGGCCGAGTAGCGTGCTCACTCGCAATGTTGTCAACGATCGCCTCGTTGCCATTCAAATTTAGGTTATATCCGTTTGGTTAAGAATATCGACAGGCGCTTTTCACCGGCACCCCTAATACTTTTCCATTAGTGGCAGCCGTGGTCACAGACTATTATTCTTTGTTCTGAATCGCGCTTTATGGGCGCCCTCTGGTATTTTAGTACACTGACTCTCCCAGATTGGGCAGTTGGATTAATTCTCGAGTACCCAGAGACCTTGACTTTAGTGGTTTCTCTAATCTCCACCGTATTGTCCGTGATCACGACAAGGTCAGTTGAATATTGCGCAAGACCACACCGATATGTTTTTACTTCATATTTTCCAGCCTGCTCACATTCTCGATGAAGGAGGCTCTGCGGCACAACCTAGCCAAGAGCATCTCCTTGTTTGGGCTCTGTCCTGCCATTGCGCTGACAATGCCAACTCGGGTTATGTGCAAAGATAAGAGGCACCATCTTCGGGGTGATTACTTTTCTGAATTCCTGGTAAATATAGGTATCCATAGTCTTTCGAATACTCATTTGACTTTCCCTGCAGTTGGAGCACACTGCTCTTGCCAGCGCTGATTGAGTAGTCAGTCACTCTATCAGGAACTGAACTGAACATAAGCAGTAGTGCCTTAGTTAACGATGTATTGAGCGCACTTCTGTCAAGTAGTTCGGCTCAGTATAGTGCGTACGATTTGTGTTGTCATTTTTGATCTCACCATTCTTGTTTTACACAGCAAATATGGAACATTAGATTCTTCAGTGGGGGTGCGCACAAGCAGTAAGTATCTTTAATTATAATGGAGTCTCATAGTACACGAGTCGACGAGTGAGCATGTGAGATTTTTTTCCATGTATTGTCGAAAGCTCATGGCAGCGTACTCGACAAGATGATCTCCTTCCTGTGGTAGGTTAGAAGGGTAGTTGTTTGGCCTTGAGCACCATGATGGCTTGAAGGGTAATGAAGAGATTGAGATTCGGTATGTGAAAGAGGGAGTTCTAAGAAACGGCTAGAGGTGGTATCCTGACGGTCCTGAACTGCAACCTACCATGGTGCCGGAACTATGTAGATGCCAGTACCGGAACCGCACCCAAATACCTTGCAGATACTAGCGCAAGCGTCGATGGCACAGTAACTTCATATAGCAAGGATGCATAATGGATTCCGAGCACCTGGAACGTGACCGGAGACAATAGTGTCTGCGCCAATTCATTGAGCTGTTATACCATTTATACTTAGATCTATAATCTGGTAGTCACGTAGGGTGGTTTCTATCGGGCCCTAGTCGGTTCAGTTGGTGCGACCTTCCTGTTCCAACCTGAATGGTAATGTTGAGTGTATCTTGCAAGCCATTTAGCGCTCAAAGCTTAAGCACTGAAGCTTCGCATAACACTGTGGGAAAGTAGCCTAACTTGCATCAAACCGCAGTCATCAGAGCATGGCGGCGGCCCTTCAACGTTGCAACTCACGTACCCTCTCCTTCCTCTTGAAGCTCGAAGGATATTCTAGGGTCACCGCGCGCTGAGGGTGCGATTTATTGCAGGTACTGGAAATTAAGCGTATTTCTCCCGGTGCCACAGTGAGCTTCTTCGAAGTTCGAAATATCTATAGCGCTGAAATTTAATTTCTTAGCAAAAGCAAATTGGGCAGGCAAGTCATCGTATACATTTGGTATACATACATTGCTACCATCTATGAACCTGAACCTTGAACAGAGTCACAAGGGAAACGTTGGATGTCATACATTTTTAGTATGTCCTTGACGCTAAGCTCGCCTTCAAGTTCCCGAGGACTTGTCCAGGGCGAACCAAGAGGTTAAACGACGCGCGATGTGCCTGTATCTATTCCCCATGTTAATATAGAGAGTTGCTGCGTTGTTGACCACCTTCATTGCGTACGTCTCGCGCATTCAATCCGGATCACGGATTCTGCTCGAACACTTCTATGGTCCAGGCTGCGTCAGTGGCATGCATGCTGCAAGGTTCGTGTTCCGTCAAATATATAATATTTCTTTCCGAGCGACAGCGTAGATTTTGCATCTATCCCTCCTGCAATGTTGCAGGTTCCCGCCAACTTTGAGCGCTTCACAATTATCATCGGTATTCAGATTGCCATCATCAGTATCCAGATTGTTATCCTAGTATTTGGATACGGATTCCTTGGTGCAGTTGCCTACCTCGAGTACCTTGCTCCACCCGATCCAGTTTGCGAATTAATGAGGAGTTATCCTGGAGAGTTAACAATGATTGTCACATTGATAGCAACTGTGCTATCAGTCACCACTGCTACGTCTGTCTGCCTTTTGCTCCCTCCAACTGATCATTCAGTGATTTTTCTGCCAGTCTTTTCACGCTTTCGGTGAAACAGGCACTAAGACATCGAATGTGGAAGCCCATTTCTCTAATTCACCTTAGCACTGGTGTTGCTTTAGCACAGGGCTCTCATATGCTGAATCTTCGATATATAAGATTGACCGTCTTGACGCTGTTCATCATTGGGATGCTGAGGCTCTTAACGGCTGGGTACGTCTTCTCTGGAAGCATTGTCGAGATTCTCTCATTTGAGTCAGGTGGATAACTCTCTTGACACCGGCCTACTTCATGTGGCCAGTACAATTAAATGGATCCGAACTTGACATAACTGGAAGCGCGTTTGCCACCTTACTCCGCGAAGAATTCCTAGCAAATGGTCTCACTGACAGTGTGTATCTCTACTCAATTTGACGAGTAGGTTATAAAATGGGATAAATAAGTCCAGGACAATTCTTTTGAAATTCTCGACATCGGTGGAATGCTCAGTGGAGTTACTGCTGCAGGGTTTACCTTTGGTCTTCCCGGGACATTCAATTTCAATGGTGCCAAATACAACGTATCCACTCGTACGTCCAGCCCCTCAGTTCACTCTGAACTATTTTACGATACTGTGCAACTAGAGGGGGTCGTGCCTACCATTGAAGCATTTTCCGGCTCGGATGGAGTTCCAAATGCTGATGGTACTCGTCTTGGGTTTTCCGGTGGAAATGTCACAGTCAACACAAGAGTTGTATCCGGATCGCACCCCAGCGTGCCTATTCCTCAAGGCTTCGACAGGAACTATTCCATGTCGCAACAAGGGTTGACAGCCAATGTCAGCTGCCGGGCCATTGACTCAAGTCAAACTCACTACCTTTGGGGCACGAACAACTCTTACCTCATCTATGCCAACGCAGCTGCTTCGAACAATTCCATCACCGGTCTTCGCTTGTGGAATATCAGTGCCAACTGTGGTACCGGTAAATTTGGATCTTGGATATCTTTTCTCAAGTTCACTGACAGCTTCTAGATACGCTGACAACGTACGAATATGTGACCATGGTAGATGCAAATGGAAATACGAGCTCATCAGGAAGTGGCTTTCTTCCATCTGTTGTGTGCCAAGGACCCACGAATATGAACCAAACTTATACAAATTTCAGTGAGTCTTTGAAACATGCACGTTTGGAGTTATTGACCGAATCCATTCCTGTAGCCATTTTTACACAAGGGTTTTACAAGTATAATTTCCTCAAAGCAAGCGTATGCGAAGTGGTTCCCCTACTGACCACTGTCCGCGCCGATTATTCCGATGAACAAATTTCACCCGGGGTCACCTCATCCACTCCTTTCCAGCCAGAGAATGCCGAGCTACTGTCATTTATCGCTTCAGTTGCCAGGTTTCAGTCGATCAACTCGCAGGGGCTTACGAGCAGCACAATTGGGGATACCTTGTACTCCATCTATTCCTCGACCACTATCGGATCCATCAATAACAATCTCAATGACACACAGGTTTACCTTGAGCTCGTCAGTTTCATGTCATACAATCTTTATCCACTTCTTATGACTCTCTCAGGAGGATTACTGGCGTGGTGTTGTTGAATTTTCCGCCACAGTGAGGTTCCCGGTCCGTTCAATATAGTCCAAATTGACCTAGCATTATTTCACAGTTCCTTCGCTCCGGGTTTATGGCCACAGGTAGTTTCCCCAATAATGACATCCCGAACAACCTCTCTTCCCAAGTCACTGGGACTATGTTCATATCAACGATCGGCTGGACTCGCTGGGCTAAGAAGTCGCCGACATATCTGCTCGCTACACTCCCGCTCACCATTGTCACCATTCTCACTTTAACCTGCGCGTTGTACAGTATTCTGGAGGCTTTGAAAGAGCAACATGGATGGGGTGGTCACCACAGGACCCACCACTTCGACGTGTCAAACACTCTTCATCTCATTATGGCATGCGCTGCTGAGAGTCTCGCACTTAAAGATTTTGGCGAGGAGGGAATTATCAACAACGAGGATGTGAAGGTGCAGCTGGAGGAGCATGGTGAGAGGAAGAAGTTTGTGATACCTAATTAACTGTATGTGGTAGTGTCGAAGGAGAAGCTCATGTGATTTTAGGCACCATCACGCTATGGTAGTTGTTACCTGAGACTGGGTTAGAAAAGTTCTACGGAAAGATGCAATACATATCCCGAGACATTTATGAATGTAATAATTTCGAATGTCTATCTATCTATTATATTAAAGTGCGGCATACGACATGTTTTTCTGATAGAGGACAACTTTGGAGACACCTACAGTAAAGACATTCATCGCAAATCTCCCTTGCTCGTTTCCACTTCCCATATTCAAAGATTGATAGCAAACCTGTCAGAAAAAGTTCTGAATACGAATTCAGGTTTCCGCAGCTGCATCTTGGCAATCAAGGACTGCGGAAGATCTGAAATGCTTGAGATGGTTCCGGACCTCGCGTCACGTGTTCGCATGGTTTGAATCCATGGGGCTGTGGTACTTACTAAAGAAGATGGTATGAGCGACAGCTTCTGTATCCACTACCTCAGAGGAGCGCACGTCCAAAAGTTGTAGGGATGTATGCTGGAGTGACTCCGCTGTAAAGCCGACGTCAATATTCACAGCGTCTATCAACATTCTGAGCTCATCCAAATGGGGACATTGACGGAGCGCTGCGAGTAGTCTACACAGTGGCTTGAGGATAATTTTTGTCTTCTAACTCCAGAAAGCGGATGTATGGCCAATATGACATGGCTTCCAAAAAATGGTCGTTGTCAAGGCGGGTGCAGCAACCAGGAAATTCGAGTTCTAAGGTTCGGAGCTGTGGACAACAACGGAATTGTGTGATTGCTGTCCAAGAGCTGTACGGATCCTGAACTTCTGAACTGTAGGACTTTATCCTAAGGCGTTCAAGGGTCTGGCATGCTTTACACTGGGACAGGGCATGAAGAAGCCGCTCAGCGTCTGCACAAGGCAATCGATGGAAAAAAGATCGAATTCTTTCAGCGAAGGAAATCCTGAGTGTTGCACGAGTGTCGTGGTGTATGCAGCCGTGTCCGCTAGGAAATAAAGAGTTGGGAGGTCGAGGAAGGGTCCAAAAGTGATATTATTGAGGTCCGATGGGGAAGGGACTATGTTATTCATACGAATCGTGACTGTGAGAAGGGTAGGGAAATTGGAGAGGCGCTCCCATGCTGCCCGGTCGAGGGGTGGGCAAGACAGAGTTACAAGCCGCTTGCACAAACGGACACTGTCAGATAGTATGGATAGCTTATCTGCTATGGTGCCATTGGTGTGCCTCACGGATAAATGTTCGAGAGCAGCCGAGTCACAATCAATTTTAGATTCAGATCAATGACCCATAGGGCACAGAGACGCAGCGTAGGAGACAGAGAGATGCAGGTATCTAGTCGGACATGGAAGTGAAGCCGTGAATAACGTCTACGGTCCCGGGAACATGCATGTCTCTTTGGGAGGACTAAGAGAAGGCGAAAATCCCGGTCAGTTGCTAGTTCAATATGCATTGATCGTACACGGGTAGCGTGACGCAAGAATTGACGAGCTTCATTTGCCGATAATGGTTCGATGTCACCAAAGTAAGGAGGGTTATACCAGGTGCGCTGTGTTTAGGTGCTCGGTGAGACGCTACTAATGAACGAAAGGGGATGAACAGAGTTTAATATTGTGCACTCACCCCTCCACAGTGATTATGTATATTATTGGACGCAGCCTTGTTACACAGCCTAGCAGTGGATTTAATCCATCGATTTCAGCCCAAAGCTGATTCATTGCAGGTTCGTAGAATGTTTTACACGTCCTTGCAAGGAATGTCCGCACCAATGACACCTCGTGATACGCCATCATGAATCATGATTGGGTCTTGCCAGTCGATATCATTGACATGCTTGAATATCTCTAGGAGGATTTCGCAAACGAGTAGAGCCCGATGCATCGATTGGGTGTCGATGGAGCACGGAGCACTGCAGTGCAGTACACAGCACGGACACGAACAAGCGTCCAGTGAAAACCCTGACTCCGAACGTCAGCCATGAAATTACAATCTCAGGTTGACATGGAATCTGAATTCTGGATGGGCCACTTGCGCCGCGTCGAATTCTTAATAGTCAAAGGGTGTGATCTACTTGTGGCCTGAAATCTGGAGAACTTCTATCCAACTTGTGCTTTGCAAACGATTCTGAAACGAAGGATCAATTCTTTTTATTCATGAGAATTAACGGACTGCATGTGGTTTAGATTCATGCCATACAAATCTGACCATGGTTTAAACCGCGACGTAGCGTGATTAAGTTGCATCCTAGATTTCTAGAATATAGCGACGGGGAAGCTGAGAGACGCCCGATGGAAGTTGAACGTTTGATTGATAAGAACATAATGGCCATCAGTAAACCGGTGAAACTCAGATATTCCCAGGTATGGTACCTGTTTCCTCTACATGACGTTATAAAACAATATATAGGTCCGAATCGAGCATGAATTGGGGTGATTACATTGCTTTGGATTGCTATATATTACTTTGTATCGTAATATACAGGAAAGAAGCATTGGGCTTACAAAATACTACAAAATCTGGGAATATCTGAGTCTCACCGGTTTACTGATGCTCACTCATGGCTCGGTGACATTGACTCAGACACCCGATCGAGTCCTTAAGAGAATAGACGCGCCGCCACCCTTCTCCTCCATTAATCTAGAGTATCTGCTAGTGAAGTCTATCACATACGCAGCCATATAGGCTGTTACCAGCTTCTTCACTCGAAATATACACGTTTCATATGCGATGTCGTCCGGAAACTTCCTCCCAGATTTGTCTCCTCCTGACGTGCAAAAAGCAGCTCAAGTACGTACTTCAAGCTTGAACTTCTTTAGGGAGTTTTCTTATAACAACACTTCCACAGTTGATACAACAAGCATATTCGAGCGCACATGCCCAGGTGGACCAACGGCGGATCCAGCAAGAGCTGGTCGAGATTCAGAGACAACCTGAGGCATGGGGGTTGATTGTACCTTTCATCGAACATCCAGACCCAAATGTACAATTCTTTGGCACACATACCGCGCAGGTTAAGATCATGCGTGATTGGTAAGTGGTCTATCTTTTCCTCCTTACGATGGTGCTGACCAGCTGCTATTACTGCAGGGATTCATTTCCTGAAGAAAACGCCGAACACCTACGAGACTTGCTGCTCAAGCTCACCTCGCACTCGATATTGACTGGAAAGGGCAAAGTAGTACACCGCAAACTGTTTGTTGCAGTAAGTGCATGTTCTAGATTGAAGTCCGTCTAGTGATCGTTTGCAGATCACATCACTTGCACTCCGCATTGCGCATTGGGCCGGGTTCACTCTCAAGGTGGCCGGACTGCATAGTGTTGGCAGTCAATACTCTCTTTTCCTCTGGCGTGCCTCCAGAACAACTCCTTGCCTTCCTTACCATAGTCGCTGAAGAGGTCGAAACGGCCGACCTTCTAGGGTCCAGTAAGTGGGTGCAACGATCTGAATCATTCTGCATCATCACCAATTTCGTTCCAGGATGCAAATGCATCAGTTTCTTCTGGACGCTTCTCCGATGGTCGTTCAAGCTGTAATAACATCTATCATTCGACCGACTCTTGTATTGCCTGAACTACAGTCCGCACTCAAATGCCTTCAAGCATGGATATACACATTATTGGCCAAGTAACGTTCTTTTATACACTCTGCTCAAGTTTCAACTTAACGCGCTACACAAGGGACATCACACCATTATTCCACTGTTGATCACGACAATGATGCCCTCACCAGACTCCGGATTTGACGAGTCCACCTTCTCGGCGGCTTCTGATGTTTTACAGGAGATCATGACGAGGTCTTCGTTGGCTGGAGGTGCGGGTACAGGCACGTTGACAGAGCCTCTTCTTATTTGGCTTGATGGTTATGGAGATCGTGGTGAGCCTCGGTGGTTGCACATATTCACTCGATATGATTGCTCACTTGTTATCCGATACCCAGCCGGTTCAATCGATGGTGCATCTCATTCACTTTGTAAACTACTGGTTGCCCTGGGAGACCACTCCATCATGTATTTCGCCTCCAACTTAAAACCTATACCTGTAACACCCTGCCGGCGCGTCTACTTTGTGCAGAAGTTCTTGCACCTCCTTTTGAAATATACCGAACTACAGGGTTATTACGGTGTCGCGCGTGCATCATGTACGTACAAGTTATGTGTAAGGATTGAAGTTTGCTGTGCGTGAATGGATCTAGGGCCTGGTCGTCGTCGAAATACATGCGAGGAATTTGTCCCCCGAAAGACAATGAATGGTCACCGGCTCGTACGACAGGATGCTCTGTCTGTGGGACTTGAAGACAGGCGTTATGTTGCTCAAACGGATGTTCTGCTAAAGACCTGTCGGTACTTGGTTCATTGGAGCGATTCGGATCTGTTAGGCATTTTGTGAGGAGAGCGAGATGACTGTTGGCATTTGGTACCTCTTTCAGGAGTCGTTGTACACCCTCACCTTTTGTCGATGCCCATCAATCTGCTATTCGTGAAGTACGCAACGTCAGGGCTCAGCAAAATACCGCGTCATTGATTAAAGAGGAGAGCGCCAAGTGTAATATCAAACCAGGTGTGTTTTTCGTGGCCTTTAACTTCATCACTGTCGGACTAATATACTCTCAGCTGACAATGATGTCCTTCGTAGATGGAGGAAAAAATTGGGCGTGACATAGCTGAGCTGATGCGGGAAATTGCTGGGCTGAAGCACAATGTCGAAGAGCTCGCTGGGCTGAAGCCCGCGGTCAAAGAGCGAGGCGGGAAAATGCTGGGCTGAAGCATGACATCAAAGAGCTGAGTACTCCCAGTCAAAATCTGCCAGTGGAAAATAGTAACGACAAGATTCAGCAATATCCTCGGAGAAATTTCAGCCGCTTTGTAGATTCAAATCTGATGGTTTCGTCTGTTTGATCACTCAGCAAATGGATGAAACTACTGAAACTGTTTTGGGTGTTTCTAAAACTTGAACCCGCTCGTCGAGTTTACACGAGTGAGTAAAGCTGTTGACGTGGAAGCGTCACTTAACAAGAAAGTTTTGCGCTAGACATCATATGCACAGTTTGTGAAGCCCAAAATGTACTGATTGAAACACTTCGATTCGCATTCACATTTAGGGCCTGGACAGCTGCCGTTTGTTTCTCAGTTTGTTTCTCAGTTTGTTTCTGTATGTGGTGTGGCACTTGTGACATAACAGTGACCAACAGTGACCTTTGTGTGATGGTCTCAAATGCCCACTCATACCTCCCTTTACTGCTGCTATGGCAAAGAAAAAGACTACTGTACCTTCAGCAAACAATGCCGGGACTTTAGCAGTTGCTCACTGGACTGTTGAAGAGACATCCTGCCTTCTTGAATACCTCATAGCTCACTGTGCTGAAGGTGGAGATGGGACAGGATTCAAACAGTCTACTTTTACTGGCGCATCAACTCATTTGCAGGAGCTGCCAGATGGCATTTTGAAGGAAAACCATGTAGGGGGATCTGGCAGGGACTGGCAATCATGCAAGAACAAGTGGTTAAATGTATGTTCTCTGCTCATGCTAGATTATATTCTGATTGTAATTTGCACAGTGCAAAAAAAAATATGCTGCTATTATTGATATCAAATCTCAATCAGGCTTTTCATGGGATGATGAACTTGGTGTGAATATTGGTCCTGCTGATGCCGCTCGTTGGATGGCATTTGCAAAGGTGTGCTTCAGTTATGATATGAGAGGGGTACTGATATGATTATGAGTTTGCAGACACGTCCTGATACCAAACCGTTTCGCAACAAGGGCTGGGAACACTTCCACCAGATGGATGAACTCATGTGCACACAACGCCCTTGTGGCACCAACGCCTTCCATGCTGGACATGAGACATTCAAGTCTGAACAAGCACCCCCTGATGATGACCAGGCCAACAGAAATGATACTCAACCTGTTGTGGAAGATGAGGTAGAGCGGTTAGTTGATGAGTATGTCAAGGACCAGGTGTTACGGTAAACCGTAGGTCGACTAGGATAGGCTCGACAATAGACACTCGATAAGAGTGACGTCTAAAGCTGGATCGGAACCTCACAAATGTAAGGGTCTTTAAGACAAGTTAGAGAGAGTGTCTCCGACTTGAATATCGATATCAGATACTTAGGATTGGAGGTCCTAAGTAAAGGAAGTTCTGGGTGAAACCTAGTAGATTAAAGTGAAGTTTAGCTAAGTACAAGACCCTGCTTATATAGGTAAGACCTAGTTTAGGGCCGGTACGTACGCATCATCGAGACGAGTCAGAGATAAGAGAAATGATGTCAGCTAACGATGGCATGAGGCGGTCGTGCTGTAATACACAGATGTAACAAAGGAAGTCTAATGATGGCACGGTTAAGTGCGGTCATGATGTAATACAACGAAAGAAGGAAGGAAAATAGTAGGGGGGCAGCCGTTACTGTAACATTACCCCTCATTTAGCGATGAAGTCACCGACTTCACATATCTTGATTAGCCCAGTAAATGGGGTCTGCGTCGTAGTTGGAATCAAGGAGGTCGTCTTGTTCCTCAGTGATAGTAAGAGATTCCGCCAAGTGCTCAGCGTGAGCGATGGCGTCCTGCTCAATCTCCCAACGAGCAAGTGCGTCGTAAAAACCGACGTCAGTCCATACCAATGGAATGACCGCTTCTCCCTTTAAGTCTTTACAAAAGACTGACAGATGACCAGGCACGTATTCCTTGCAAACCCTGCAGTAGTACGTGGGACAATTCTTGTGTCGATGACCAGCGCGGTGGCAATTACGACATACGACGTTGTCGACTGGTGACGTTTTTACAATGGTGACGGATGAGGACTGGTTTTGGGGGGATGGTGATCGTGACCGTTTACATGGTGGTTTGGTAGGGGAAATGGATGCGGCTCGTTTGGCGGCGAGGCGGGAAGATCTTCGTTTAAGCGGAAGTCGTCGTTTAGTACGGGTGATCGGGTCAGGTGAAGGAGAAGTTGGTACGTCAAGTACAGCAATAGGAGGGATGAGATCAGCCTGATGCTCTTCAGTATCTTTAGCAGAAGTTGGCGGTGGTACGGGGATAATGACATGAGGTGAGGGTGGTCGTGCGATGGGATTGAGCACGATTCGCTCGGTAACGATATGGATGGCTTCTCTAATGGCATCTCTTGTTTCTTCCGGTAAGAGACGGATTGCGGTATTGCGAATGCGTATGTGAAGGTGACGGAAAATAGTCTGATGACGTTCATCATCAAGGAGGGCGGCGGTGCGTTCGATGAGACTGGCATCTCTGATGATTCTGATTATAAGACCACTGGAGATAGTGCCTTTTTCTCCAAGAATACGATCTATTTCAATAGCGTATTGCTGAGAGGTGATAGCGGACTCAAAGAGAGCGCTGGTTTCGACTTGGTCAATGACAGAGAAATAGTCGGTGAGGGTGGAGTCGTTGGAAAGGGTTAGGGTGGAGTCAGAGACTGGTGGTGATGTTTCAGCGGGTAGTGTGTGTCGTGCGAAGTCGGCAGCGGTGGCGTTTTGGTAATCGAGAAGTGTTAGGGGATGAGCGTTTCCTTCAGCAACGTTGTCCATAGCCGCTGTGAGTTCTTGAATACGGAGGATACAGAGGCGTAGTCGTTCGATGTGGGACATTCTGAGGGGAGTCTATAATCCGTGGGCCTTTTTATAGGCGACAAGGATGTCGGAGGCATTGCTGAGATTCTCTTCTGGGACCCATTCATTACTGGCTGACGAATATCCTTTCCACGATAAGAGATAGCGTCTTCATTTACCCGTTCCTTTGTGCGATAAGATGGCATCAATTTCATATTCTTCTTCGTTATCGATGACGTCAGGGGGTGGGTCGTGGAAGTTCGGTCCATGGATCTCTGTTTCGTGATAGGACGATAACTCAGAGGCATGGAACGTGGGGTGAACTTTCCATTGAGATGGTAATCGGAGTGTGAATGTGATGGGAGATAGGACGGCGGTGATTGGGAATGGACCATATCGCTTAGGGGCGAGCTTCCGTGAAGGCAATTGCGTGATGAGATTCTTTCCGGATAACCAAACCTTATCTCCAATCTTCCAAGGGTGATACTTCTGTCCATGAGTTCTTTCTGCCATACGCTGCATTGCAAGGTTGTGGCAGGAGAGTGCTTCTTCTCTAGATTTCTGAAGCGAGCGGAGTCTATCCGCCGCTGTGGGAACTGTGGAGTCGGGAAGAGTGTGTGGAAGGGCTCGTGGTTCGTATCCCATCATTAGAAAGAATGGTGATGCGTTGCGAGAGTCGTGTTTTCGGTGATTATGTACAAATTCCGCCATAGGGAGTTGTTCTACCCAATTCTCGGGGTTATTTCGGCAATAGATTCGAAGGTACGTTTCCAATTCTTGGTTGAGTCGTTCGGTTTGTCCATCGGTCTGGGGGTGATAGGCAGTTGACGCTGCTACGTCGTACTTCAGAAGCTTTGCCAGGGCTCGAGAGAACTTGGATATGAATTGTGGACCATGATCTGAAATGACTTTCTCGTGTAAGCCGAATCGTCAATAGACGTATTTGAAGAATTTGTTGGCGACCCCTTCGGAAGTGATGGTTTTAGTACATGGGATGAGAATTACCCCCTTCGTAAGCCCATGGTCGACCACGACCATGACAGAATCAAAACCCGCACAG